AAAGATTTATTAAAATAAAATAAAATAAAATGCCAAGGGCTAAAGACAAAGGGAGAATCTGAAAGAAGCAGGAAAAAAACAGTAGTAAAACAGTTAGTTACCTACAAGGGAGTACCCATACGAATGTTAGCTGATTTCTCAACCTAAACTATGCAGGCCAGAAGGGAGCAGCAAGAAATATTCAAAGTGATGAACAGCAAGAACCTACAACCAAGATTGCTCTACCCAGCAAAGTTATCATTCAGAATTGAAGGTCAGATAAAGAGCTTCACAGAAAAGAAAAAGCTAAAGGAGTTCATTACCAGCAAACCAGGATTACATGAAATGCTGAAGGATATTCTTTAAAAAGAGTAAGAAGAAGAAAGAGGTAAAGATAAAAATTATAAACAACAAAAAGACATAAAATAAATACCTACCAACAAGTGAATCTAAAAATCAAGTGAATAAAAAGTCTGAAGAATAGAGTGGACTGATGAATATAATGGAATCAGGGACATAGAAAGGGAGTGGAAGGACAATTCTTAGGAGGTAGGAGGTTTGAGGGGTGTGGAAAGAGATTGGACAAAAGTCTTACACCTATGTATGAAGATAGTAGTGGGGGGTAATGGCATGGCGTGAGGAATCAGGTGGAGGGGAGCTATGGGGGAAAAAAAGAGGAACACCTGTAATAATCTGAACAATAAATATTTATTAAAAAAGAGAAATATCATACCATTAAAACTTAGAGAATGTATCTTTTATCTGTAAGAATGTGGCTTTTCATATGTCCAAAAGAGCAACTATTTATTTATTTTAATTTTTTAAAAATATATTTTATTGATTTTTTACAGAGAGGAAGGGAGAGAGATAGAGAGCTGGAAACGTTTATGAGAGAGAAACGTCGACCAGCTGCCTCTTGCACACCCCCAACCGGGGATGTGCCCTTGAACAGAATCGAACCCAGGACCTTTCAGTCCGCAGACTGACTCTCTACCACTGAGCCAAACCGATTTCGGCAAAAAAGAGCAACTATTTAAAGTGAACACACATACAGCAGTAACCTGATAGTTGCACTGTTATAAATGAAAGGATTGACAAACTAAATGAACCAAGTTAAAGATGAAACTCAGATTTTTAGAAGTAACACACTGACACAGGGAACAAAAGGAAACCTTTTATGATATCACTAGAGTAGGGCAGATGCTGCTCAGTCTCTTCTCTGTTTGTTCCAGTCATAAGGCATTTGCTTGTTCCTATATTTTAAAGTAAAGAGGATTCATGTTACACCTCCCTCAGTTAACTTGTAAGTACATTGAAGACAGGAGCTATAACTTATATACATTTTTAAGGCCCCAGAGGACCTGGCACAGTGATTTGCACATAAAAGTTATTTAAGAAACTAAAGGCCTGGTGCATGAAATTCATGCACTGGCGGCAGAGGGGTGTCCCTCAACCTGGCCTGGCTCTCTCGCAGTCTGAGAGCCCTTGGGGAATGTTTAATGTGGAGCGTAGGCTAAGCCAGCAGTCGGACTTTCTTAAGTGCTGCCATCGAGGTAGAAGAGGCTCCTGCTACTGTGGCTGCACTTGCCAGCCATGAGCCCAGCTCAGGGATTCTGGCTGAGCAGTACTCCCCCTGTGGGAGTGCACCAAACACCAGAGGGCAGTTCCTGCATTGAGCATCTGCTCTCTGGTGTTCGGTGCATGTCATCCCTGGTGATCAGTGCGTGTCATAGAGACTGGTAGTTCTGCAGTTCGATTGATTTGCATGTTAGTCTTTTTATTATATAGGATATTAGAATACAGGATGTGTGTGTTTTTTGCAAATAAAATATAGAGATATTCTATGTGGTGGATAAAATTGAACATGAATCATCTTGTTGCTAAGAAAGTATCAAAACTGTAAAATTAATGAATTTAGTGTGGTAGTAAACATATTGCAACCATACAATTCACTGGTACAGATTAAAGAAAATTCACTGGGAATAGAAAGGGATAGAGAGGGATGGGAAAATTCTTCATCAATGATAGGTACTTGTTCTTTAGCTCACGTTCCTTTAAAGAAACTGAATATGGTTTCCACTTTCTCCTTAAGAACTTTAAGCTAAAATCTAGAAGGATAAATAAGAGTTAATAAATGTCTGTAATTCTTTAAAAGAACCAAGCAATATAAATCTATGGCATTAAAATGAGTATCCCAAGAGTCCTTGTCTTTGGAAATGTCCTCAAAATGCCCTAAAAGTTTTCAACGGCAAGCAAAATGATATAGATTAAAGTTGCCATTATGAAAAGACATTTTTCATGGACATAGATTATATTTAATGAAGGCCTGAGGAGGGGCATGGAGTGGGGTAGAAGAGGGCCAAGAGTGGGAGGAGATATTTTGAAAAACTTAAGTAGGAAAAATGTTAATCGGGATAATGGAAACATTTCAGATTGAGTGTATTATTGTGCTAAAGAAATAAGTCAGTTTCAGAGTTCCTACTATGTGTCCAGCCTATTGTTAAATGTTGAACATAAAAAGGAAAATTGAACAGATCCTATTTCTTTCAAATGGATGACAGATAATCCTATCTAATAAAAGAGTAATATGTAAATTGACCGTCACTCCAAGACATAAGATAGCTGTCCCCATATGGTCAAAGATGGCTGCCCTCATGTGGACACAAGATGGCCACCACAAGATGGCCAGCAGGGGAGGTCAGTTGGGAGGGACCAGGCCTGCAAGGAAGGGCAGTTGGGCGGGGGGGGGGGGCAGTAAGGGGCAATCAGGCCAGCCTGAGAGCAGTTAGTCATCGATCAGGCTGGCAGGGGAGTGGTTAGTGCTGGTCAGGCTTTCAGTTAGGGGCAATCAGGCAGAGGCAGGTGAGTGGTTGGCAACCAGCTCTCCTGGATTGTGAGAGGGATGTCCGATTACCCGTTTAGGCCCAATCCTGGTGCGTAGGACATCCCTCAAGGGCTCCCAGATTGGAGAGGGTGCAGGCTGTGCTGAGGGACACCCCCCACCCTGTGCATGACTTTCATGCACTGGGCCTCTAGTTACACAAATAGTTATCACACTGTGAAATTGGCATTAGGCTGCGGGCTTGCACAGATTCCCCTGACAGCCCTGATGGAAATGGGACAAAGAAGGGTTAGGTGAGGCATTTAAATACATGTAAAGTTATTGACAGATTTTTTTCCAACAAACAAATAACGACATTAGTTTAGTTGGGGGTGGGGGGGGGATGGGTAGCTGGAGGGTGGCAATAGTTGCCAGACATGTATCACATTCGAAAGATAAAAAGAAACCAGGAAAATTCTCTTCCAAGACATAGTGGGGGAAAATATTCATAACTTCCTTCCTTCTGTGCTTACTAGGAATTTATTTTTCCCCCTCATAATTAAAATCACACACATACTCAAGTCCTGAGTTTTGTGAGCATATTATATATTCAAGACATCAACTAAGCATGGTATTGTCAAGTGTGTGATTATAAGGTAAGGGTTAAACGGAAGGGAGTGTTTCAGACATGGGAAGACTGGATAGAAGGTTGAAAAGCACTGTTTTCCTACTTGGAAAAAAACCTGCACTTTTAAGCTCCCCAAAATACATGTGTCTGTGTGTGCGCGTGCTTGTGCAGATGTATTTCGGTAGGATTTAAAAACAATTTTTAAAATCATGCTCTCTATTGCTGTGCTGCAAGCATGGAGCAGCCCCCTTAGGATCCTGTGACAAAAGCTGCAGCAGAAGCACCAACTGGCAGCACTGTTTATGCCGCTTTCAAAGCCACCCTCTCCCCATTACCCCACTGGAAACCACAATCTCTGAGCCTGGGTCACCCCTGGGGACCTGGAACTGAATCTGGGAGCCTAGGAACCTGGTTCCTCCAGAAAACTTTACTGCGTGTGCGAGCAAGGGCTCTAGTCCTGGTGCAGGGGAATGCACCACAAGCTGCCTCTGCCTGGTGCTTGACTGTGGCTCTACCTCTCTGGGTGAGGTGCAGGAACTGAGCCTGCTGCATGGGGCGGGGCTGAAGATGGTGGCTCGGTTGGTATATAAGGCCGGTGGTGCTGGTTTAACTTCTGACTTGGGTTATTTATTTGGGGATCGCACAAAGCGCACAGGCTAGTGGAAGTGGTTGTGGTGGTGGTGGCTACAGAGGCCACCACAGATGGTAATTTAAAAAAAAAAAGGCCTCAGTGAGTGATGGGAGCATCATGACTCCTGGGCGCAGGCTGGAGCTTTGGAATTTTTGGGGTGCGGCAGGAGTGCTGAGAGAAAAGTGAGTGTCTGGGACCCAGCAGCCGCTACAGATGCCCTGGCCTGGTTTTTGTTTGGCTCTGCTGAGTGCCAGGCAGCTCAAGTGAACCACTCCAGTCACAACAGCAATCCACTTTACCGCAGCTGAAGGCAACTGGATTGCCTCCATCCTATTTGTTTAGACACTTGCCAGGAGCTCTGCAGTCAATGGAGCCACCAAGTCCTTGCTCTTGGTCGCCGCCCCCCCTTCGTGGGGCTGACAGGACTGGACACTCCAGTGGTGGAGCTGATGGAATTGGGCACCACCATCTTGTGGCTATGGGCACCACCATCTTTGTTGAGGAGTAATGGTCAATTTGCATATCTCCTCTTTATTATATAGGATGTTTGCTTATTTAAATGAAATTTTCTGGTTTCAATTTGCTTAAAATATTTTACTATATGAACCACACAGGCTGAATATGAATTTATCATTCTCTTTCTTTTTTTAAAATATATTTTATTGATTTTTGTATAGAGAGGAAGGGAGAGAGATAGCTAGAAACATCAATGAGAGAGAGTCATCAATCAGCTGCCTCTTGCACACCCCCTACTGGGGATATGCCCGCAACCAAGGTACTTGCCCTTGACCGGAATCGAACTGGGGCCCTTCAGTCCCCAAGCTGACGCTCTATCCATTGAGCCAAACCGGTCCCGGCATGAATTTATCATTTTCATCATTGAAGTTGTAAAGTGCTTTCTTAATAATTATCTTTTATTTAAAAAAAATTTTTTTTCTTAGGTTCCGAGGTCACATCAAACTTGGTATTTTTGAAACAACCTTCTTCTTTAGTCAGAAGCATTGGTCAGAGTGCAGTATTGCCATGTGTTGCTTCAGGACTTCCTCTTCCAACAATTAGATGGATGAAAAATGAGGAGGCACTTGACACAGAAAGGTAATGTGTACCTAAAAACCTTAGCTTGAGACTTGTTCTTATGTGGCAATATTGATTAATAAGAAAATTTATTATCTACTTAAAAATTTAAATACATCATAATCCTTATCATCCTTGACATGTGTTTACATGCTGTATATAATTAAGATGTTTAAAGAAAAAATGCTTTTAAAATATCAAGGGATAATTATTCCATTTGTTCTTTCTGAGCTTCAGTATCCTTAGTTTAAGGCCTCAGGTCCTCCTTCTCTAAATTATTACATTACTGGAGGCCCAGTGCATGAAATTCATGCATTGGGAGAGGAGGGTCCCTCAACTCAGCCTGCACCGTCTTGCAATTGGGACCCCTTGGAAGATGGCCATCTGCTGGCTTATGGCTGGATGGCCTTATGCTGCTGCTCGGCCTGCTGTGCTGGGCCACATGGTCTGTCCTACAAACACCATCGAGTAGGTAAGTGAAGTGTGGAGGCAGGCTCACCCTGAATTCCCTGTGCTTCCCTGAGTCACTGAGTTGTTCAGACTGACTGCTTTCTACAGAGAATGGCACAGGATTGGGCTTAAGCTGGAGGTTGGACATCCCTCTTGCAGTCTGGGACCCCTCAGAGGATGTAGCAGTGTGCCAAGGGACAGGTAGCCAGAGAGGAGCCCAAATTGGGACCAGGCGCCATGCCGCTCATGCTCATCCTAGCCCACTGCACCTGATGTGACTGCTCGGTAGTTCTCTCATGGAATTGGGAGAGGCTCCCACCATGGCAACGGTGCTCACTAGCCATGACCCCGGCTTCTGTGAGAGCACACAGGCCACCAGGGGGAAGCTCCTGCATTGAGCGTCTGTGCCCTGGTTGTCGGTGCGCATTATAGTGACTGGTCATTCCGCTGTAATGGTCGCTTGGGTTTTTATCATATAGATTTCCAGTCCTCACTAGCCTGAAACTTGTTGATAGTAGCTTTTATTCTTTACAAAAACAGTAAAAGAAAATGTATTTCTCCATTGTATGCTCTTGCCTCCTTTGTCAAATATTAATTGAGCATAATGGCTTGCTTGGGTCAATTTCTGGGTTCTCTGTTCTGTTCCATTGGTCTATATGCAGACTGGTACAGCCACTGTGGAAGACAGTATGGAGTTTCCTCAAAAAACTAAAAATGGAACTCCCATTTGACCCAGTAATCCCACTCCTAGGAATATATCCTAAGAAACTAGAAACACCAATCAGAAAGGATATATGCACCCCTATGTTCATAGCAGCACAATTTACAATAGCTAATATAATATTTGGAAACAACCTAAGTGCCCATCAGCAGATGAGTGGATTAAAAAACTGTGGTACATCTACATAATGGAATATTACAGTGCTATAAAAAGAGGGAAGTTTTATCATTTGCAACAGCATGGATGAAACTGGATGAAACTGGAGAGCATTATGCTAAACAAAATAAGCCAGAGAGAGATAAATATCACATGATCTCATTCATATGTGTGATATAATGATCGACATAATTTGATGAATAAGAATAGATCCAGAGACAAATAGCGGGGGGTGGGTTAGAAAGCAACTATAGGACTTGTATACATTCATATTAGCATAACCAGTGGACACAGATACTGGGGCGGTATTGCCTGGTGTGGGAATGGCTGGGGGATGGGGGAGATCAAGCAGGGGAAAAGGAGACATATATAAAACTTTAGACAAAAAAAAAAAAAAAAAAAAAAAAAGGAAAATGTTTCTCATCCTTTTGTTTTTGCCTTTTAAAATATTACCAGCCTTCTATGATACCAAATTCATCTTCTACAAAAGCCTTTTGTGTTAACATCAACCACTAGGTCATCCATATAATCTCCCTCATTACTTCCTGTGGTCTGGATACTTTTTTCAGTTGTATTCTGATAAGAGAAATGAGGTGATTTTGGTGCTGATGGTAGTTAGGTATGTTTGTTTCCCAAACAAGTTATCTCATGCATTGTAAGATGTTTAGTAACATCCCTCACCTCTACTCACTCTATACCTAGTAATTCCTAAGTTGTGACAACCCAAATTGTTTCTAGATATTGCCAGATGTCTCTTGGGAGACAAAATGGTCCCCAGTTGTGGACCATTATTCTAGAGTAGTGCTGTCCAATAGAAATATGATGCAAGCCACATATCTTGCTTAAAATTTTCTGGTAGCTGCATTAAAAGAGTAAGAACTGCATGTGTACTACTAAATACAATATAACCGTCGAAACCGGTTTGGCTCAGTGGATAGAGCGTCGATCTGTGGACTGAAAGGTCCTGGGTTTGATTCCGGTGAAGGGCATGTACCTTGGTTGCGGGCACATCCCCAGTAGGGGGTGTGCAAGAGGCAGCCGATTGATGATTCTCTCTCATCGATGTTTCTAACTCTCTATCCCTCTCTCTTCCTCTCTGTAAAAAATCAATAAAATATATTTTAAAAATATATATATAACTTATGCAGTGTACCAATTAAAGTGCAGTTTAGTTCTACCAAAACAATAAAGTTTGTGTTCAAAACAGTTTGTACATTTAAATGGAAATTAAATAAAAATTTAAAAATGTAGTTCCTCAGTCATTATAGCAACATTTTCAAGTGTCAGTAGTCACATGTGGCTAGTGACTATTGAATTGGATAGAGCAGGCCTAGAGTTTGTCAATTTAGTAATCCAAAGTAAGCAGACATTCTTAATTTGTGTAGTTCAGTAACCAAGACATGAAAAGGAAGATATGTCTAGTCCAATGGTTGGCAAACCACGGCTCTCGAGTCACATGCGGCTTTTTGGCCCCTTGAGTGTGGCTCTGCCACAAAATACCATGTGCTATTGAAACTTTGTGGCCCATGCACAGAAGTCAGTTTTCGGCTCTCAAAAGAAATTTCAGTCGTTGTACTGTTGATATTTGGCTCTGTTGACTAATGAGTTTGCTGACCACTGGTCTAGTCAATTTGATAATCAACCTTCAGCAGTCAGTGGAAAAGATAAAATTACAATCATGTTATTTCTCACATGTTCCATTAGCAAAGCTGGTGGTGTCATCTTCAATATCACCTGATTTGTTTCTTAATAACCAACCACTTACAGCTTCTTCTGCCTATATTTTACATCTTGCTTCTCATTTCCCAGCTAAATATTATGCAAAGAATTTATAAGACTTCCAGGGAATTTTTAAAACTTATGTGAACAAACATAGAAATCATTAAAACAGGGAATAAAAATTTCAAGCTCTTAAAAGAATAAATTTTTATTGGCTACATGTTAGAATAAAATGTTTATCAGGAGTTGGAAAGCTGAAATAAGTGATTTTTAAAACTTTAATATTATATCATAGATGGACATTCTGAAATATGTAAAACATAGGAATTTGCTTTCTTATATAAGAAATTAAAAGTGAGAACTTGTATGATTCTCAATTGTTTATTAAATAAATACTCAACAAATATTGAATGCTGAATATGTTTGGCACTTTCTAGGTACTGGGAATACAGCAGTAAACCAAATATAGAGTTTTTGCTTTTAAGGAGCTCATGTTCTAGCGGGGAAGAGTAGATAATCATATAAGCATAAATTTTCATTTTATAGTAAGTATTATGAAGAAAATTATGACAAAGCATGTCATGGATGCCAAGAGAAGTACATGTGGGATTGCTATTTTATACAATGTATTAGAGAATTGTTCTCTAATAGAATGACAGACTGAGGTCTAGTTGAATCAGGAGTATAGAAATCATGGTAAGAATGTTACATATTTTCCTTTTTCTATCAAATTGTTACTTTTGATTTTAAATATATTTCTGAGGGAAATTTTTTTAAATTAAATGTGGATATATTGTATTATTGCTAGTACTATTCCTCTGAGTTTTAATGATTAAACAGGAAACTTTTAAGATTGAGTAGACTGTTCTACTTTGATTTCTTGGGCTTCTTCATACTTGGGTGATGTGGTAGAAAAGTCTGAGAAAGGATTGCTTTGATATATCACTTTCTCAGAAAGTTTCAGAAGAAAGTAAGAGTAGGACACCTAATGATATTGTTCATGTTGTTATTTCCACTATGCTGGTAGCATAGTGCTTGGCATATAACAAGGTAGGGAGAGTGGTGAACAATATATTTTGGTTAAATGCTTGAATATAATATAAGAAACTATGAGTAGGTGAATGGAATACAAAATTGTGTCAAACTCTGGGGAGGGAGGGGATGTGTGGGAGGAAGGGAGGGGGGCAAAAAAAAATCAATAAAATATATTAAAAAATAAATTTAAAAAAATTGTGTCAAGTTACACATAAGAAATTACTCAAAATGTCTTTATTTGAGCCAGAGTTTTATGAGATCTTAAATTATTAAAAATCTTTGAAAATGAATATTTTAAAACATTACCTGCTGGGGCTGACCGTTAGACCCTGAGCAACGGATGAATGATTACTCTGACACACGTTTCTGTGAAAGAGAGGCTAGGAGGCTGTTTTGCTTTAGGAGCAAAAAACCCTGTTTACCTGCCTCCTTAGGCTTTTATTGTCAGAACAGCTTGAACTAAAATTAACCTCTAGATACAATCAGCAGGGTAAGTATCCTTGAGAAAGCACATTATTCTACAAGGTTGGGTCTAAAAAATTAACAGAAACACCTGGAGGTCAAGGCAGGAGCTGCTGTCTTTGGCAAGGTTCTTTTAGAGGCCCCTGACCCTTCAGAGATTCCTTACAGACTTTTTATTTTATTTTATTGATTTTTTACAGAGAGGAAGGGAGAGAGATAGAGAACTAGAAACGTCGATGAGAGAGAAACATCGACCAGCTGCCTCTTGCACACCCTCTACCGAGGATGTCCCCGCAATCAACGTACATGCCCCTGACCAGAATCAAACCTGGGACCTTTCAGTCTGCAGACCGATGCTCTACCACTGAGCCAAACCGGTTTCGGCTCCTTACAGACTTTTCAACCAAGTCCCATGTTTCCCCATAGTTACCACTGCTTTTATAATGTCCAATTATACGCCCCCATCCTCATGGTTTCT